GTGGACTTTAGACATTTACATGACAACAGCCATCAACAAACAACAAATTTCCATGACAGACTCAATTAAATCATGGAAACCAACATCTGCAGCATAGAAAAGCATATCAGAGACTGCTCTTCGTCAGACAACTGCCACTAGTCTGTTATTTCAAAGCCATTATAGAAAGTATACCCTAATGAAGCAAAACCTGAACACTTTTCACCAGAGCCTCAAAGATCACAGGTACTCATGAAATCCCTGTACATCCATCACACCATCACAGGGTATAAGAAGATTAGATGCCTGAGACCAGCCAAAACATCACGGTTAAGAACAACATCTTTCCAACAGCTGTCAAGTTTTCCAACAAACACTTCTAATAGTAACCACACTGTATAATCCATGTTTACGTAACACCCTGTCACATTAAGTATCTTAATCTATCATTCTTTACCTTCAATTACCTCCTCTACTATCTACAATCTGTCTATATCACAGTTTATGTACTGTTTGTATACTGCACTGTATAAGGTTTGGAACTGTACTCTACCCTGTACTGTATTGTATATTGTATAGTCTTACACTTACACTCTTAAAAATAAAGAAGAACATTTCTGGGAGCAGTTCTTTAATCTTTTAAGAACATTTTTACATTATAAAGAAACTTTTGTGAAAAACATCAATGCAAATAAAGAACCTTTATTTTTAAGAGTGTAATATTTATTTTAAGGTGTCCTTGTTACAGTGTAATTATACATTTAAGTACCGAGTAATATTAATTAACTACATACACCTACTATATGGTTAGGATTAGGATTACTTGCATATAATTATGCATAATTTATTGTTATTACAATAGTAAGTACATGTAACGTGTAACAAGGACACCTTCAAATAAAGAGTTACCGTGCAATATTGTAGTTGTAACTGTCCCACAAGCTATACTGTGCAGTAATGAATTCTATTCTACATTCTATGATCTATTCTATAATCTATCAATTCTGTTCTATTTTATTCTATTAGTATGTTTTTTTCCTCTACCTGTGTATTTGTAGTAGATAAAAATCTGTCGACTATCAGCATTAATAAGCAATTCAATCCTATTTTAATGTTATTTTCAGCAGATCATCAGATTGAATTATCTTCATTGTAATCAAAAGGGTGTTCTTGACTAATTCTAAATTCTTCATTTCTTGTCCCAGATAACATATAACACGTGTTCTCATTTTTCCTTCTATAGGTTTACAGTATTAAGAAAGTAATAATATACTCTAAAAACAGAATTATATGCAGACTTCTGGTCTAAAGTACGTAGGTGTGTCTTAAGGCTGTGTCAGGAGAACCAGACACCCTAAACGAACTCAACGAAGCAAACGTAGCCGATTATACATCTGGTTTATAAGGCTGTTTTCAACAATAGCAAAATCCATCATTCCACAGTGATACTGAATAAACAGAAAAAGATCAACATTTGATACAGTTGCCAAGTACAGTTGAGACGTGACAGGATCCTGAGAAATGTGAATATATGAATTAATGAACAGAAGCAATGCTGTGAAGATGAGTGGGCCAAAATTCATTTGAATTTGAGAAAATGGAGGATATGCTTTAGACATCCTAGTACAAGCCATATGATATTGGCATTTATTATCTAATGTTTATAATTATGTCTATATTAGAGGAAACCATTTCTATGGAAAAAAAAAAAGACAAGCAATTATTTAACGCCTACTTTTTTGTATAAAATAAAAATAAAAACAAAAACAATCAAATGTTGTTTGATGTGAGATTATTATTGAGATTATACACAGATGGAAAAACACACGAGTAACAAAGTGTGGGAGGCAGTTTTGCAGAGAATTTCTTAGCTATATGACAATATAAACATTATTTCATGTGATTATTCTTATTTTTGCAGAACGAACAGAGAATAGCATACAAAGAACGGCAGGATCTGCATGGGAAGACAGATTTAAGTAAGTGATTAATTAAAGGAGTCTGTACATTATGTTTGTTTATTTGACTCACTATGTGAACATAGTGATGGTGTGTAAAGGTGACTATTAAATAATGCGATTTATCAATAGCAACAGTGAGGAGGTTTTGGTACAGTCATGACTCAGAGGACTGTAATCTACCATAATATACCATGGGACAAAGGTTTAAACTATCTTATCAGTGTGGTTTCCTGGGATTTAGCAACATGTTTTAGGCAATGAAAATAAAAAAACTCTCTACATACAAGAATAGATAAAAAATTCTATTTGTTAGAGAAAAGACCTATAAGTTAACATACGTAATGCAATTGCTAATGAAAAATATAAGCATTTCTGTCAGGACCACTATCGTCAAAGATGATTGACAATTAGCATACAGTTTGGATTGGCGGTATATCTTTTTAATGTTAATTTTTACATACAAAAGTTAATACAGTAAAACAGTAATATTGTGAATTTTTTTTGAAAATAACTGTTTTCTATTTTAATATATTTTAAAATGTAATTTATTCCTGTAAATGTTCAGCCATAACAGTCTTCTGTGTCACATGATTCTTCAGAAGTCGACCCTGGACCACAAAACCAGTCATAAGGGTCAATTTTTTGAAATTGAGATTTATACATCATCTGAAAGCTGAATAAATAAGCTTTCCATTGATGCATGATTGCTGTTGGATAGGACAATATTTGGCCGAGATACAACTATTTGAAAATCTGGAATCTGAGGGTGCAAAAAAATCTAAATATTGAGAAAATCGCCTTTAAAGTTGTCCAAATGAAGTTCTTAGCAATGCATATTACTAATCAAAAATTAGGTTTTAATATATTTACGGTAGGAAATTTACAAAATATCTTCATGGAACATGATCTTTACTTAATATCCTAATGATTTTTGGCATAAAAGAAAAATCGATAATTTTGGCTATTGCTAAAAATATACCCAAGCGACTTAAGACTGGTTTTGTGGTCCAGGGTCACACATGTTGATCTGGTGCTCAAGAAACATTTCTTATTATCAGTGTTGAAAACAGTTGTGCTGCTTAATATATTTAATATGTTTAATATGTATAGTGGAAACTGTTATACATATTTTACTGGATTCTAAGAAAAAGAAAGTTTAAAAGAACAGCATTTATTTTCAATAGAAATCGTTTGAAACAAATGTCTGCACTGTAACTTTTGATCATTTAATGCATCCTTGCTGTATAAAGAGTATTATTTCTTTATTTTTTAAATTTGGTTTTGCATCCTTTAAACCTCTGAATGATAGTGTATATTAAATTACATTTTTAACATTTAAATTTTGTACAAGGAACACTCCTTACAGTAATTAACAATTAACAACAGTATATCTAAAAATGAACATTACCATATATTCATAAAAGCTGTAAAAATAGTTAATATTTCATGATAAGGTTAAGCCTAAACTTATTGTAAAGTGTTACCCAACCTTCATATAAACTGAACCACACTCACTGGTCATGTCCATACATGAATACAGGTACAATACATTTGTTAATTTTTTCCCAGCTGTGTGCCTTCCTTGTATGACTGTAATACCATTAACTTCCAACACTTTTACGTTCAAAATTATGCATCAGCTAAGCAAACAGATGCTAAGGTTTCAGTTGCAAAATAACATTTCACATTTTGAAACTTGAGCGAAACTTCCTTAAGCCAAATCCCCTTATTAATTAAAGTGTCTTTAAGCAAACAGTTCTATATTTAACAGCAAAAAAAAAAAAACAGTTCAAGATCTCCAGTTTTCATTAACAAATGACAAAACAGCTCATTTCCATTGGGAGGCTACATCATGTATTCAGATGATTCATAACACTTTACAGTAAAGTCATTAACAAACATAATAAAATGCTTAACAGATCAGTATGCACATTCAAATCTGTTAAACATTATATAACATGATGTGTGTTAATGGCGTACTAATCAAAGTATACTGTTCTTATGTATCTTATATTCGAATGATCCACTGAAGTATGTGAAGGAAAAAAAGGTTTGAAATGATCTTCTTTATTGTAAGTTTAGCTTGAGTCAAATACTTTAGAATAAGTTAAGAGGGGGTTGACCTCTACTCATCTAGCTTTAGTGGTTCACTCTGCTGGGCTGGACCTGATTTGGAACATCATTCACAGGGAGCCTCTTTTTACAGGCATCATAAACATACATGCGTTATCAGAAAACAGGGTGGAATAGGAGTGATTTCCATCAGTTCTGGTCACAAGACAAAAACTAATTTTGCATCAGAAGTAATAGTTGTAAGCACTGATTCATTTTCCTAACAAGAATCATGATTTCAGCGAAAAATTACGCTTTTGTATGTTATTAACTTGCTTCTGTAAATGGAAAACTTAAATATCTTAATTTGAATTTAAATATCACTTTAGTCATTTTGCAAATGAATATTCAGGCACACAGTTTATTGTCATACATTAATGAAAAACTAAACTTGTGTATGCATTTATTTTATATTATTTTTACAAGATAGTAAAAATCTTGATCTAGATTCTGACTGATCTGGCCTCCTTTGAAACATAAGAATTCATTGAACTTTTGGACTGCTAATTCTATAAAAAATATATATTTTCAACTTTTTGTCCTAAATTTTCAATATTTTAGATTTGGATTTTAAGCTTACGTCAACAGGGAATTCCTGATACTATTCAGACTAGTCAAAAAATAATAATAATTGTAAAAAAATGATGATAAACCATGTGGGGATTCCTGATTTAAGAGGTCACTTCAAAGGTCTATGTAATGTATGAGTCTGCCCATAAGACCTAAGAGAATGGGGGGACACACCCAGGTCCTATCACGAACAGTTACTGATTCACAAAACCGGTTTTGTAATAAGCTATGTACAATTATATTTGTGAAAGTGATAAAAAGTGATACACACCTTCTTATGCCCTGCCTCACTGACCATGCATCACACGACCCTTTATAAACTCAAACAGCTTTCTCACTTCTGTCTAAGTGAACCTAACACCATCCATTAATCCAGACATGGGACATCTGGAGATAATACTAGTATTAACATGGATAACAGGTTGCTTTACCATAGACAACAATGCAAATAGGTGAGATGCTCATGATTTAGTCATTTGGTATAATGTTTCAGTAGTAATGTTAATGTAAATCTTATTTTGCTTTTATTAAGTACCAGATTCAGTAAAAGATTTGATTATTGTTGTATACATATTTATACGTATAGCATGCAAATACATATTGTAAATATATTATAAATATATAAACATATATTATAAGTAATATTTATACATTTACATTTAGTCATTTAGCAGACGCTTTTATCCAAATCATTTGCACCAGGCATTTAAATAGAGCCACACGTTTCTAACAATTAGTGATATGAAAACAGGCTAAATTAAAAACTGTAAGTGTAAAAGCATGTTAACATATCAGAGTCTTGCTATTTCTTAATTTTATACACAACATTAACGTATTGCCAAGGCATTAATTGACACTTCCTAACAGTTTTTATTCAAATGTAATTAAGCATTTAACATCTGATCATAATGATGGAAACAAATGATAAGTATTATGATGATGACTACTGTTATGTAACTGAATTACACTACTTTTATGCCTTTGTAGATAAGAAATTCATGTGATTATGCAGCTAATCTAATACTTAACAAGCATGGTAAAATATAGCCAGCTCTTTCATCTTTTTTTCTGATATTAGTCAACTCAGCCTGCCTTCTTATTTCCTGTTTTTACAGATTTGACGTGACAGAGAGAGATGCAGGTAAGTAAATTATCATGTAAAATGTAATAAGGACAATGATTAACCAGAGAATTAGTGCTATTGCTAAATTTCTATATTTCAATCATTTATTTTAACTTATTTCTTTTTCAAATATTAAGTAACATTTTAATATAAATAAATTGCTACAATAGAACTAAGAACTACTATTATCATTTCCTACAAATCTGTACAAAGACTATTATCTTGTCTGTCTCACACTAATGAACAATGGGGAGAGACTTTTTTCTGTCACAAAAAACATGCTTGACTTTGCACAAAGCGTTCACGCTTGCAATCAAGCAAGGACACATGTGATTACAAAATGACATGAGAACTGGTTGTAAACGGGTGGAGTACGGTAGGCCCCCATAAAGCATATCTAAGGTCCATGTCCATTTCCAACACATTATGAACATAAAGAGCATTATTGCATTGTACCACTGGAAAATAATGCACATAAAAAATGTGAGCATTATCCATTCCTCATTTTAGGACTGGTTTTGTTTGAGCATATCCTTAAATAAGTAATCTAAAGTCAACTGGAAAATTCCTACAGTATAGTCAATTCTAGACAGTTTCTACCACTGAAAACTGAAACGTCTTGTTTTCAAGCAGCGTTGGCCTCTTGTGATTTCAACCAAAATGAAGAACCGTTCTGCATCTTCCAACAAGACCCTGCAGATAATGGTGACTGGACGCGTCACAGTGGACCCACCCCAACCCCAGGCACTGGACCTGATGGAGACTATCCGGATGGAAGTGAGTATGAACACTAAAACCAACAAAAAACACTCCAGTGATCAGTCACTGCACTGAAGATGCAAAATCAATTGGAAATAATGTTCAAAACTGAATATTACTGAAATTACCGCAACCACAAATGCTTACAAAATTACAATACACTGACTGATGGGACATGCACTATAAAATGTTTTGTCAAGCAACCTATAATCGCTAAAGAACCTATTGTTTTTTACGGTTTCTTGCTCTCATTTAATTAAACCCTTTCCCCCCGTAGCTGGCTATTACATATATCATGAGGCTGACAACTCCGTAAATGGACAGAAAGTACGCCTTCTCAGCCCAGTTATTACTAGCGGACCTTCTGAGATCTGTGTACAGTTCTACTACTACATGTATGGCTCTGACAGCAGTAACACCCTGACTGTGTTTGCCAAACGTCCCGGCTCTGAGGAACAAATGTGGCAAAAAACTGGGATACAGAGCCCGTCATGGCTTGGAGCCTCTGTCACTGTGACCATACCAGCTGGACAGACTGCTCAGGTAATTGGGTCTGCTTAAAAACAGTAAAAGATTGTGATTAGTACTAATGCAAGTGTTTATATAATGCTATAGATGTATGTCATTTGTTCTTCTATAGTTCTAGCATGTATTTTTAAATGAAATACATATGAGTACAGTCTTGTTATACCTCACTAAATTGCCTTAAAATTGCTTGAGTATTATGACCTTGAGACTTATTAAGTTTCAGTGTGGTCACTGTGTTTAAGGCAAAAGGCTATGCATTACAGTGTGTCTAATCTATGTAGGCCTTTTCTTTAGCATCAGTTATAAAAAAAGTCAATGTTACCAAGACAAAGAACACTTCTGAAGCTCATGACAGAATGAACTTTGTGACACAGTGTGAAAGAAAATCCCCTTTTAGTAAGTTTTAATGTCATTTTTCTCTTCTAGATTGTGTTTCAAGCAATGCGTGGGCTCTCCTCATCATGTGACACTGCCCTGGATAACATTGTCATCACTGAGGGAGCCTGTGCTGGTACTTTATTTGACCCTTATTGCATGTTACAAATATAAACATTTAATATTAAAATAATGATTTTATAAACAACATTTTGTTTGTTTTTATACAGGCTGTATAGCTGGGTGTGATTTTGATGATGATGAATGCGGCTGGACGAATGTGGTACCTAATGATGACATTTTTGGTTGGGAGTTATGGACTGGACAGACAGATACACCAGGCACTGGCCCTGATGATGACTTCTCCAAACCAGGATGTGAGTCCAATATTCCTGTCATATCAATGATTATTTTTAAGGACTGCTTTCAGTCCTCTTTGCATTCTCTATTTTCTCAAACTGTTTCTTTCCAATGCAGTGGGGTCATACCTGTTAATGGACTCCAGCTTTAGCATTGAAGGAGAATCCGCTCAGCTCTGGAGCCCCTCTACCTCAGCCTCTGGTTGCCTACAGCTGGACTTCCATTACTACATGTATGGCAGTGCCACCAACATGGAGCTAAATGTCCATGCAGTCACCACCGGTAAGAGTCACAAGCTGTTCGAAAGGGTGAAGATTAAGAGTTTATTAAAACATCTGTAGGTTTAAAGGAAAATTATGAAATTACAATTACAATTATAATATGACAATCATATTCACATATACACGCAACGAAACCTAGATGATCAATGATTTTCAAAAATGTTATTATGCAGATTAATTAGAGAGATTTTGGTTAAGATTTGTTTTATGATTTTTTTTTATTTTTTAGGTGGAGCACTTGGAGCCCCTATTTTCAGCCTCAAAGGAAATCAAGGTCAGGGCTGGAAGCCTGCAAGCGTTCGCTACATTGGTTTAGCTGATTCAGTGGAGGTCAGTTTTATTCTCTCAGTTAAAAATTTGTGAATGAGCTTTTTAAATTTTTGACAATGATCTGGCCCATTTGAGCGACAAAGCAATTTATATTAATCATAAATGTTGCCAAATGTTCACGTTTTTATACTTTTTTTATTTCAGTTTGTAATTGTAGGTGTTTATGGTGAAACAGACAAGACAGATATTGCAATTGATAGTGTCTGCATTACCGCTTGTACAGGTAGGTGGCAGACAATGTCATTAATGCTATTGTCAGTCTAAAAGTACCAGTTGTCATAGAATACATATTTTATGAATGATGCACCAGTCTATTAATTGTTTTCTTGCTTGATTTTAGCAACTCCAACAACACCTAAGCCATCCCCACCCCAACCCACTACACCTAAACCATCAACACCACAACCCACTTCACCTAAACCAACGACACCAGGTCCATCATCTCCTAATCCATCTACACCCCAACCCACTTCACCTAAACCAACGACACCAGGTCCATCATCTCCTAATCCATCTACACCCCAACCTACTTTACCTAAACCAACGACACCAGGTCCATCATCTCCTAATCCATCTACACCCCAACCCACCTCACCAACGACACCAGGTCCATCATCCCCTAATCCATCTACACCCCAACCCACTACACCCAAACCAACAACACCAGGTCCATCAACTCCTAAACCAACAACACCTAAGCCAACTACTCCAGGACCAACACCACCAGGTAAGCTAAACTTGTTCTATTTTGATTAGAAACATTTATCAAAACATTATAACATTTGTTTAGATAAACAAACCCTTCATGTCTTGCAACAGTGAACTGCCCTCCAGACTCTGAGTACATTGATTGCGGCCCAGCCTGTATTCCTACCTGCACAGAACCCTCCACCAACTGCTCTGGTTCTTGCATCAGCGGCTGCTTCTGTAAACCAGGATTTGTTTTCCGTGGCCGACGCTGTGTTCCTATTGAGCAGTGTGGATGTCTGGATGAAGAAAACAATTACTTTGAGGTACAAGAGTTATCATTGTGGGGCTGCATTTTTATCCAGCTTTGGGACCTAAGGTTTTGCTCTAAAAAATGTTGGCCTGTATTTACACTCAGCCTGGTGAGATCATATTTGGAGATGGCTGTTCCAAGTTGTGTCGCTGCGCTGGCAACTACACTTTCGACTGTGTGGATAACACCTGTGACCCTGTGACGGAAGAATGTCGGGAGTTTGGTGGAGTGCACGGCTGCTACCCTAAAGGTATTACAGAAAACCACAGCAACCCCTTATCCACAACTACCGTAACTGACAAGTGATCAAACAACACACTAGTTTGCTTCTGTGATACCTCATGTTTCAAATCCCACAAGCTTTCAAACACACTTTTGGCTTGGTATTTATTAACTTGCAAACCTGTAACTCTTGATACAACAAGTATTTATGATCAAGCTTGTCTTTGACACCAAGGGATTTTTCATTCACAGGAACCTCCACCTGTATTGCCTCTGGTGACCCCCATTATAACACCTTTGATAACCGGCGCTATGACTTCATGGGAAACTGTTCTTACCTGATGTCCGAAACTTGTAACAGCACAGACGTGCCTTACTTCGCTGTGTACACAGACAATGAGAACCGCTACAACAATCCTCATATCAGCTATGTAAAAGCAGTTCATGTCCATGCGCTGGGAGTCGTAGTGTCTGTTCTGAAAGGAGGAACTGTTCAAGTAAGAGAAAAGAACATTACTTTCAATGTTAATGATTTATATACTATCATGTATACAGTATTATTTCTACACATATACTGCATACATGTAATTTAGTGGCACATTCAAAATGACAATTATGTTTTCTGACATTTCTCAGGTCAATGGTACCAATGTGAACATTCCTCTGAGTCCTGTCAGTGGTGTTGACATTTTTATGTCTGGCAAGCACTACACAGTGGCCTTGAACTTTGGAGTAACCGTACGTTATGACGGAAACCACTATATGGACATTAAAGTTATCAAGGAGTGAGTATGGTTCTAATAAACGTCTTCATAGTAACAACATTTGTAACTTGATTCACTTTTGAATGTTTCTACATGCTCGTGATCATTTTACAGCTATGAGGACAAACTTTGTGGACTGTGTGGGGACTACAACGGAGACCCTCAGAATGACTTCCAGACTCCAACTGGTGAACTGGCCCAAAGCCCCAATGACTTCGGCCACAGCTGGAACACAGACCCTGAGTAAGGCACTATACGAGGCACATGCTGTTACAACTAAAAGACGTGTCTCTATTAATTCACATCATAGACGACTCACCTCTGATTCTGCCTTCAGGTGTAACAAGCCAGAGGTTGGCCCATCCCCTGGGTGTACAGATGCTGAGCAGGAGTTGTATGAAGGGCCTGCTTACTGTGGTATCATATTGGACAGCAATGGCCCATTCGCTGCTTGCCATCCAAAAGTCAACCCCAATGTGAGTGAAATCAAATCTGTTCATTTGAAATGCTTTTGAATTTGAATGCTTAATCATACAACAGATATTTACAGATCTTAACCCTGTGTGTTTAGGGTTTCTTCCAAGACTGCTTGTTTGATGTTTGTGAGCTGGATGGTGCTCATTCTGCTTTGTGTGAAGCAATAGAGTCATACGTCAATGAATGTCAGGACCGTGGAGTTACAATTGGACCCTGGAGAAACAGCACCTTCTGTCGTATGTCTGAAAAATACATATTCATTATCCATAAACTCTGACAAAAAAAACAAAAACAAGATTTGAATGGCTTGTCCTATTTCTCTTACTGGCAAATAGAGTGAATTCGCAAAATTACTATTAGCACTAACATAAGTTCTCCCTCTTCAGCTCTGAAATGCCCACCCAACAGTCACTTTGAATCATGCGCACCAGTTTGCCAGCCTTCCTGCCGTCCATTTCCACCAAGTCAGTGTATCGGGCCTTGTTCTGAAGGATGTGTTTGTGACCCTGGATATATCCTCAGTGCTGGCCAGTGCGTGAAAGAAGAAACATGTGGTTGCAGCTATAATGGAAATTATTATAAGGTGAGGAAATTGAATTTGGTATTATTTAGGACAGAAATGGTTTGTTATAGTCAATCAACTAGTATTTTTCATGACTTTTCCTCTCTCCATGGATTTAGCCAGGTGAAGAGTTCTACACTAAGGACTGTGAAGTACTGTGTAAGTGCGACCCCCCATTTGTTTCCTGTAAAGCTGCCGACTGCCCACCAATGGAACAATGTGGAGTACAGGGTGGTGTAATTGGGTGTTATCCACAAGGTGAGTAAGTGTGTTTCCATCATTTCAAAAGTTTGATTTCAGTCAGAATAAAGTAATAATGCCTATTAAATTGTAAACAATTTAGTCTGGAATCATTTTTGCATCATTTTGCAACCTTTTTTAAATAAATCATACAGGTGATTGTTGCTTGGCTTCATCTAGCATATAATTCTGATTACAACTGAACACAGTGCTGTGTATGCTCTGAAATATGTGACACGCAATGTGTATTTAATTAAAATATTCAATTATGCAATGTGTGATGCATCATTAAATAAAGAGATAGACTGTCGCTTGACTGTGCGTGTAAACTGTGCATATAAACATATTTGCTTTATATAATAGTATACTGGGGTCCTAAGAGGTTGCATTATTTACAAATAATATACTATATACAATACTAAATATACAATATTTGTAACATTCATTTTTAAGATGCACATTCTTGAGCATTTAACAGATTGTTGATGAATTGAAAGAAAGAGCACTTTTCTCAATCCCCCACTTTTCTCAATCCCCCAGAATCTCAAGACTGTATTATCTCTGGTGATCCTCATTATAACACTTTCGATGGCAAATACTACAGCTACATGGGCACTTGCACCTACACTCTGGCCCGCACCTGCCAAAACAACACTGGTAAGCAATGGCCAAGACAGGGTACAAAGATCCACAACTACAGTGGCAATTAGTTTACTATTGATTTGAACTTCAGAAAATATCCCTGAAAATAACTTCGAAAGTTTTAAGAGTTTAAAGGATTATACAGCTTTATAATGACGAAACCTTTCTCTCTCCTGCAGGCCCCTGGTTCTCCATAGAGGGTAAGAATGAAGAGAGAGGAGTTTCTGGTGTTTCTTACCTGAGGAAACTATACGCGACTGTTGATGGCATCGCTGTGACACTGATGAAAAACAAGAGAACTCTGGTCAGTATACACAACAGCTGCCTTCATTAAACCATCAATGAAGTTATTCTGTAATCTTGAGATCTAGAATTGAGGTTTTAAGTAAATGGCTACAATATATTTTAGTCTCTCTGGGATTTAATCCTAGAGATTAAGTAAATGGGCATAATAGGTTTTATCAAATATCTTCTTTCAGTTGTTCCTAATCTGTTCATAGTCAGATTATCCCTCTGTCCATTTTTCAGTTTTCCAATAATAATCTTGACAATACAGCAAAAGAAATTAAAACAGTTCTTCTTGACAAATTTAACATTAGTCTTCAATCCAACTCTGCTTTTATCTCTTTTCCACACTCAGGTGAATGGACTCAGGGTGTCTCTTCCTCACTCCCCCTCTCCGCTCATTTCGCTGTCTCTTGCTGGACAATATGTTATCCTCACAACTCCATTCGGCCTGGAGGTGCAGTGGGACGGCAACCATTACGCCAAGATCTCGGTTCCTAGGTACTGAAACTCTGAAAACAGACTGACTGAAATATATGCATCATTCTGACCTGAAGCATTTGACAAGAAACACTAAGACCCACAATAATTTTTGAAGGTTGTAGGTCTTGAGTAAATCCTGCAAAAGGAAAATGAAAACTCTTCTCTGGGAAAATAAATATCTTTACATTAATCTCTTTTTGTTCCTCTCTCACTTATTTTATCAGTTCCTACTATGACCAGATGTGCGGCCTGTGCGGGGACTACGATGGAAACCCCAATAATGATTTCACTAAGCCGGATGGCTCCCAAACGGACAGCTCCAATCAGTTTGGTGACAGCTGGCAAACTGATGAGGATGAGGATGCAACGTCAGTAACTTTCAATCTTCTTCTTAATCAGGCAGTTTCAGGATTAGGACAACTTCCTATGCTCGATGATGCCTGTGTTGATCGGTGCAGATCTGTGACTTGTTTTTAGGTGCAAGCCGGACCCCGGGCCTCAACCACCCTGCGATCCTGAGCTGGAGGGTGTCGTGTCAAACTCAGAGAACTGTGGAAGAATAACTGACACAAACGGAGCATTTAGGTTAGGACTTACCAAACTATGGCATTTTCTGCTAATAAACAATCTTGAATCCTTCCATTTGAAATTAATCATAATAAATATGCATGCTCTGTTATTCATACTGATTCTAACCCGATTCTAACCTGAGACAATGAAGAACTTCTAGTGATTAATCACTGCACACTTTCTCTCGCATTTGCTCCTCACAGGGACTGCATAAATGTGGTGGACCCCTTGCCTTTCTTCCAGAGCTGTGTGTTTGATATGTGCCGTTATCAGGGACTACAGCAGGTCCTTTGTGACCAGCTTCAGGCTTACACTGATGCTTGCCTGAGTGCAGGTGCTCCTGTCCATCAGTGGAGGGAGCCAGACTTCTGCCGTGAGTCATTCTCTCACATATTCTATCATATTGCACAAGTGTAGGATTTGAGAAATGGTTTGAGCATATAATAAAGCAGAAAAATATGGCATCTTACATCCATGAATCCAAGAATCACATTTCACATTCCCAGTGGCAAGCCTGTTTTCAGCTCCCTCTAATGCACAATATAAATTATTGAAGTGAATGAAGAGGTTAGAATAGCAAAGCTACACTTGTGTTATCTGTAGCCTTATTATATTTTTATTATTTATGGGGCTTTTATCAGTTCAATGGCCAGGAACGTGAAGACACAAATTACGTCACAGAGAGACAGGGACATGGGAAACTATTTAGTCCAAACTGCATCCCCACATTAACCTTCACCATCATTTAATGCTGTTTTTCAATTTTTCTTCAGCTCTGGAATGCCCTCCAAACAGCCATTACTCCATATGTGTGAGCTCCTGTCCGGAGACATGTCTGGGTATCAATGGACCACCGGGCTGCAGTGAGAAGTGTGTTGAAGGCTGTGAGTGTGACCCTGGCTTTATCCTCAGTGACAACAAATGTGTTCCTCTTAAAGACTGCGGCTGTTTGGACTCCTCAGGCTCCTACCATCCAGTGAGTTTAACACCAGGGCCGAACCGTGGGGTTCTGGGGCCATAGACAAGATTATAAAAATGGGACCCACTGATGTAAAATTGTCAAAACATTGATTTAAACCACAGCAAATATGTCTATTGATATTTAGGTAAATGAGAGCTGGTATCTGGAGGGCTGTACACAGAAGTGTACATGTGAGGGTGGAGGAATTATTCACTGTTACAACACTAGCTGTCTTCCTACTGAGAGCTGCCAACTTCAAGATGGAGACTATGTCTGCACACCAAGTGGTAACAATTATAGTACTGGTTTATGCATGATAAAATTTTGTACTTTGTACTTTTGTTTACAAATCTTATCATATCATATCATGAATATACACACATGCAGAGAAACACAAACCAGTTGGCAATCCTGACAGATCTACAACTAATCCTCTTTAAATATAAGAATTTTTCTTTCACTGGTGACCCTCATTACTTATTCGGATAATGTACATCACTTGGGTACTTGCACATGGGTACTTGCTCCTACACTATCAAGAAGTTACAAAATATGTATAGGTACTGTAAACAACTCTACTTGTCTTCAAACAGTGAATCCATCTACACCCCAACCCACTACACCTAGACCAACTACTCCAGAACCAACACCACCAGGTAAGCTAAACTTGTTCTATTTTAATTAGAAACATTTATCAAAACATTATAACATTTGTTTAGATAAACAAACCCTTCATGTCTTGCAACAGTGAACTGCCCTCCAGACTCTGAGTACATTGATTGCGGCCCAGCATGTATTCCTACCTGCACAGAACCCTCCACCAACTGCTCTGGTTCTTGCATCAGCGGCTGCTTCTGTAAACCAGGATTTGTTTTCCGTGGCCGACGCTGTGTTCCTACTGAGCAGTGTGGATGTCTGGATGAAGAAAATAATTACTTTGAGGTACAAGAGTTGTCATTGTGAGGCTGCATTTTTATCCAGCTTTGGGACCTAAGGTTTTGCTGTAAAAAATCTTGGTCTGTATTTACACTCAGCCTGGTGAGATCATATTTGGAGATGGCTGTTCCAAGTTGTGTCGCTGTGCTGGCAACTACACTTTCGACTGTGTGGATAACACCTGTGACCCTGTGACGGAAGAATGTCGGGAGTTTGGTGGAGTGCACGGCTGCTACCCTAAAGGTATTACAGAAAACCACAGCAATCTTCCCTTAACGTACAATTATTTTAATGACAAGCTATCAATTTACAGGTTATTGATGAATACCCTCAAACAACATGCTAACTTCCAAACATGAAGCTATTTTATACCATCTTCAACTTTAAGCATTTTTGTTTTAATTTTTATATTTGACACCAAGGGATTTTTCATTCACAGGAACCTCCACCTGTATTGCCTCTGGTGACCCCCATTATAACACCTTTGATAACCGGCGCTATGACTTCATGGGAAACTGTTCTTACCTGATGTCCGAAACTTGTAACAGCACAGACGTGCCTTACTTCGCTGTGTACACAGACAACGAGAACCGCTACAACAATCCTCATATCAGCTATGTAAAAGCAGTTCATGTCCATGCGCTGGGAGTCGTAGTGTCTGTTCTGAAAGGAGGAACTGTTCAAGTAAGAGAAAAGAACATTACTTTCAATGTTAATGATTTATATACTATCATGTATACAGTATTATTTGTGCACATATACTGCATACATGTAATTTAAGGGCACATTCAAAATGACAATTATGTTTTCTGACATTTCTCAGGTCAATGGTACCAATGTGAACATTCCTCTGAGTCCTGTCAGTGGTGTTGACATTTTTATGTCTGGCAAGCACTACACAGTGGCCTTGAACTTTGGAGTAACTGTACGTTATGACGGAAACCACTATATGGACATTAAAGTTATCAAGGAGTGAGTATGGTTCTAATAAACGTCTTCATAGTAACAACATTTGTAACTTGATTCACTTTTGAATGTTTCTACATGCTCGTGATCATTTTACAGCTATGAGGACAAACTTTGTGGACTGTGTGGGGACTACAACGGAGACCCTCAGAATGACTTCCAGACTCCAACTGGTGAACTGGTCCAAAGCCCCAATGACTTCGGCCACAGCTGGAACACAGACCCTGAGTAAGGCACTATATGAGGCACATGCTGTTACAACTAAAAGACGTGTCTCTATTAATTCACATCATAGACGACTCACCTCTGATTCTGCCTTCAGGTGTAACAAGCCTGAGGTTGGCCCACCCCCAGGGTGTACAGATGCTGAGCAGGAGTTGTATGAAGGGTCTGCTTACTGTGGTATCATATTGGACAGCAATGGCCCCTTTTCTGCTTGCCATCCAAAAGTCAACCCCAATGTGAGTGAAATCGAATAAGTTAATTTGAAATGCTTTAGTGCATAATTTAACAATACAACATACTTACAGATCTTAACCTTGTATGTAGGGTTTCTTCCAAGACTGTCTGTTTGACGTTTGTGAGCTGGATGGTGCTCATTCTGCTTTGTGTGAAGCAATAGAGTCATACGTCAATGAATGTCAGGACCGTGGAGTTACAATTGGACCCTGGAGAAACAGCACCTTCTGTCGTATGTCTGAAAAATACATATTCATTATCCATACACTCTGACAAAAAAAACAAAAACAAGATTTGAATGGCTTGTCCTATTTCTCTTACTGGCAAATAGAGTGAATTCGCAAAATTACTATTAGCACTAACATAAGTTCTCCCTCTTCAGCTCTGAAATGCCCACCCAACAGTCACTTTGAATCATGCGCACCAGTTTGCCAGCCTTCCTGCCGTCCATTTCCACCAAGTCAGTGTATCGGGCCTTGTTCTGAAGGATGTGTTTGTGACCCTGGATATATCCTCCAGACTCCAACTGGTGAACTGGTCCAAAGCCCCAATGACTTCGGCCACAGCTGGAACACAGACCCTGAGTAAGGCACTATATGAGGCACATGCTGTTACAACTAAAAGACGTGTCTCTATTAATTCACATCATAGACGACTCACCTCTGATCACTCTGGTTAATTCAGTAAGCGTGTTTCCATTCAATTTTCAAACATCCATCCATCCAGTTTCAGTCAGGCTAAAGCAATAATGTCTTTTTAAAATAAATGTATGACTTAAAATCATACAACTCCAGTTTTTGCAATGTTGAACAAACAGATTTCGATGTAATTATAGCTCGCTTTATCTAGCATATATATGTTGTCATTAACAAGACAACAATTGGGCTTGGCTTTGTGCAATGGCTCTAAAATGACAGATGTGATATGTAATTCACCCTTCTAATATTAGATTAAACATTCCATCATGTATATTTGGCTAGAGAGATGGAGACTGTAGCTTGACTATACATGTTTACAATTCACTATTTACAAATAGTGTGCAACAGTAAACTATTGAACTTTACACATTCTTTAGAGCTTCAAAAATAGTTGATCAATCTCTTTCCTCAATCCCCCAGAATCTCAAGACTGTATTATCTCTGGTGATCCTCATTATAACACTTTCGATGGCAAATACTACAGCTACATGGGCACTTGCACCTACACTCTGGCCCGCACCTGCCAAAACAACACTGGTAAGCAATGGCCAAAGCCAACTATCCACAATCAGCAGTTACTAGAGTGCTTTGGTCATCACTAGGTGTTTGGAGTAGCAAACTATTGTATTATTACTATTCATTAAATTTACATTAAATGTCCCCAAAATTAACTTTAAAGGTTAGCTCAAATAAGAATATGCATGTACAGCTTTCAAAATAACTTCACTTTCTTCCCTCCTGGGTCTGCAGGCCCCTGGTTCTCCATAGAGGGTAAGAATGAAGAGAGAGGAGTTTCTGGTGTTTCTTACCTGAGGAAACTATACATGACTGTTGATGGCATCACTGTGACACTGATGAAAAACAAGAGAACTCTGGTCAGTATCCACAACAGCTGCCTTCATTAAACCATCAATGAAGTTATTCTGTAATCTTGAGATCTAGAATTGAGATTTTAAGTAAATGGCCACAGTATATTTTAATCTCTTTTAGATTATAATATCTTGGATTACGTTAATGCACACAATAGTTCTGAGACATTCCTCTTATCTTAAATATTTTTTCTAAATGGTTCCTAATCTGTAACATTATCCCTATGTCCATTTTTCTGTTTTCCAAGAATAATCTTGCCTTTCAAAATTAGTTTTTTCAAAGCTAGCATTAACCTTCAATCCACCTTTGGTTTTATCTTTTTTCCACACACTCAGGTGAATGGACTCAGGGTGTCTCTTCCTCACTCCCCCTCTCCACTCATTTCGCTGTCTCTTGCTGGACTATATGTTATCCTCACAACTCCGTTTGGCCTGGAGGTGCAGTGGGACGGCAACCATTACGCCAAAATCTCAGTTCCTAGGTAAAGAAAATGTGAAAAAAGCCTTATTGGAATATATACACAGTACTGACAGTATTTTGCAGAAAACACTAAGACCCACAATGATTGTTAAGGGTTATAGGTTATGACTAAATTCAAAAAGAAAAATCAAAAAGCATCTCTGGGAAAATTAATATCTTTACATTAATCTCTTTCTTTTTTTCCCTCATTTTATCAGTTCCTACTATGACCAGATGTGCGGCCTGTGTGGGGACTACGATGAAAACCCCAATAATGATTTCACTAAGCCGGATGGCTCCCAAACGGACAGCTCAAGTCAGTTTGGTGACAGTTGGCAAACTGATGAGGATGAGGATGCAACGTCAGTAACTTTTACTTTTCTTAATTTTATCAACCACACAACAGGCAGGGCAATGTTTTTAAGATTGTTCTTAAGGTTGACTTCAAATTCTTAGGCATGTCTTGATGATGACGATGTCATGTTTTTAGGTGCAAGCCGGACCCTGGGCCTCAACCACCCTGCGATCCTGAGCTGGAGGGTGTCGTGTCAAACCCAGAGAACTGTGGAAGAATAACTGACACAAACGGAGCATTTAGGTTAGGACTTACCAAACTATGACATTTTCTGCTAAAAAAAAACAATGTTGAATCCTTCTAGTTAAAATGAATCATAGGGATTTATAACAAATATGCGTGTTTTATTATTCATATTGTTTCTAACATGAGAAAGACTTTTGAAAAACTTTAAGTGCTTAATCATTGCACACTTTCTCTCGCATTTGCTCCTCACAGGGACTGCATAAATGTGGTGGACCCGTTGCCTTTCTTCCAGAGCTGTGTGTTTGATATGTGCCGTTATCAGGGACTACAGCAGGTCCTTTGTGACCAGCTTCAGGCTTACACTGATGCTTGCCTGAGTGCAGGTGCTCCTGTCCATCAGTGGAGGGAGCCAGACTTCTGCCGTGAGTCATTCTCTCACATATTCTATCATATTGCAAAAGTGTAGGATTTGAGAAATGGTTTGAGCATATAATAAAGCAGCAAAATATGGCATCTTACATCCATGAATCCAAGAATCACATTTCACATTCCCAGTGGCAAGCCTCTAATGCACAATATAAATTATAGAAGTGAATGCAGTTCAGAAGGTTAGAATAGAAAAAGCTTGAGCTGTACACTTACTTTAACTTAAGCCTTATTGTTTTTATTATTCATGGGGCTTGCTTTTATGCCTTTAATGGCCAAGGCAGAGAAGACAGGAATGCCATCACAGGGGGTTGGTACATGTGACTGGGAAACTACATCCCTGTATCCCCACTTTAACCATATTTTCATAATTTAATGCTGTTTTTCCATTTTTCTTCAGCTCTGGAATGCCCTCCAAACAGCCATTACTCCATATGTGTGAGCTCCTGTCCGGAGACATGTCTGGGTATCAATGGACCACCGGGCTGCAGTGAGAAGTGTGTTGAAGGCTGTGAGTGTGACCCTGGCTTTATCCTCAGTGACAACAAATGTGTCCCTGTTAAAGACTGCGGCTGTGTGGACTCCTCAGGCTCCTACCATCCAGTGAGTTTAACACCAGGGCCGAACCGTGGGGTTCTGGGGCCATAGACAATGATGGGACCCCCGTAGTAAAACCTGGAGTTTGGATTAAAGGGGTCATATGATGCTATTTTAAAGATCATTATTTCTTTGGAGTGTTACAAGCTCTTGGTGCATAATGCGTTGCACAAATTCAAACATCTGGGTTGGCTGTTCTGTTGTAAATAAATCTTAACCAATGATTCCTAATTGCATCTACTTCCGGAAGGCCAAATAAAGTGCTTTTGCTTTCGCACTGAAACACAGCATCTCCCTGACATGGCTGCATCAACACGACTGCTGTTCCTGAAACCACGCCTTCTTTCTTTGCGTGCACATTTGGGCGGCATTATGCTAATATTTCCACATAGTGACATAGATATGTGGGGGCGTGTTAGAATGAGCCGTTTTAGGTAGGCGTGGCTGACTCTTAACTTTTATAAAGAATATCTCTTTGGATTTGAGACTTTAGTCTGTGCAACTTTACAGATCTTCTTTATGCACCAAGAGTTGTAACACTCCAAAGAGAAAGGAAAACTTGAAATCGCATCATATGACCCCTTTAAAAATATTCAAAGAACCACTGCAAACACAATAAGTAAACTAAAAACACCCATTTCTGTTCATGATGTTATTCACTATTTTAGCTTTTGTAGTTCACCTAAATAGCCGTTTGACAAATAAAATCATCAAAGGTAGAAGGAAACTGAGTATAGCTCATACCTTTTCACTTTATGACTTCTTTAGGCCTGTTGTCTATGTTAGTCATTATTCTTGCGCGAAAATGACAAGCACGATGTCTGACATCCAAAAGTGCCTTAAACACTAAACAGCAAAAACACCAACTCAAATAGCCAAACAACAAGCTCTTCCATGACTTACTTTTTGTGTTTCTGTCGAACTTGAGCACATTTGACCAAAATGGAGGTAAAGTTCCAGCAATGCACCGCGGCGTGAATAAATTACGCAAATGAATTGAATTCTTTAATATTTATTGTTTTACAGTTTGCAACTTTATTTGTGCTGCTGTTGTTGTGTTTATCACTTTCAGATAGTTTGTCACTTTCAGTTATTTGTCATGTAGTTATTATTCAAAGCGCAGATTTTAAGACTCTTAAGAATTAGAATTTTTATGCTTGATTCTCGTTAATGCCTGTCTTGACTTGAAATCATATTCGGTGAGCATGAATTGCATTCACTCACTCATTCATTCATTTGCTATAACAATAAACAAAATAGATGGTTATATCGGACAAATTATTATAAAGGATAATAAAAGATTCATCGACTCTATATTTTATAATGATTCGGTTGAGTTAAATGTTTTATTAGTCCAACACAACATGACACTTGTCGCCACCTACTGGACGAAGGAGTCACTGTATGAATCAATGCATGAATCTTTGGGTAAACTGATTTAAATGAGTCGAGTTACTGTGATAACTCAACCCTCATCGTAGCGTCTGTATCACCTATACGATTGCTTAAAACACCGTGCAGAATTTTAACAAAGTGTTAATTTTTAATAATAGGAGAAATGTGCTTGACTTGTAGATTTCTAACACGTTCCTATCAATGTGGCCATATATAGGTAAATGAGAGCTGGTATCTGGAGGGCTGTACACAGAAGTGTACATGTGAGGGTGGAGGAAATATTCACTGTTACAACACCAGCTGTCTTCCTACTGAGAGCTGCCAACTTCAAGATGGAGACTATGGCTGCAAACCACTTGGTAACAAATATAATACTAGTTTACACATAGTTTAGTTTTTAGTGTCTTATCATATACAAACATGCAGTTCTGCACAAACCTGTTGACACATGGAACTAAAAGTTTATCTCTCCATTTTTATCTCTTTCTCTTTTAGGTACAGGCATTTGCTCAGTTTCTGGTGACCCTCATTATAACACCTTTGATGATAAAGTACATCACTTCATGGGTGCCTGTTCCTACACTCTCACTAAGCCCTGTAATGAGACCTCAGGCTTGCCATACTTTTCTGTGCAGACACAGAACGAGCACAGAGACAATAATAAGAAAGTGTCTTATGTAAGATCTGTCATCATCAATGTGCATGACACAACCATCATTTTGGGCAAGGGGCGCAAAGTTCAGGTAAGGGACATTTCCAAGGTTTGTGAGACTTAAGGAACAGATTACAGGACATTAGAACAGCAGTCCATTCTTGTGCTTACCTTATTTGTACATCCTGCAGGTGAATGGAGTTCAGGTCACTGTGCCTGTCACACTGTCAAATAGTGTTAAGATCTTCCTAAGTGGCAAATTTGTGGTGCTTGAGACAGACTTCGGATTGCGTGTCCGTTTTGATGGAAACCATCATGCAGATGTCACCTTGCCTTCGTCCTACAGCAGACTGTTATGTGGACTCTGTGGTAAGCACAGCAAATTCAGATGTCTAACTAACTGATGGAGATTCAAAAGCTACTTTATACTGCTACTAACCAACTAATCGTTTGACATTAGTCATTTTAATAATAATATATTACAGGAAATTATAATGGTAATCCTAATGATGACAACATCAAGTCAGATGGAATGCCAACAGACAGCACCAATGAGCTCGGAGAAAGCTGGCAGGTTCCTGACGACAGACCAGAGTAAGTGAAAGCATATTTAATTGTGCACTGCACCAGTGATAGTTACATTTAATTAATTTTGTTTCTAAATATACACTTTTTATCATTGAAGCTTTAATCATTCATGCCTGTTCTTATCTTGAACAGTTGTACTCATGGTGGAGGAGACATTGAATGTGATGACAAGATCGAGAGTGAAGCACAGAAACCTACTAGCTGTGGCATGATCACCGACCCCAATGGTGAGACACTCATACAAACATACATTTTAAAATGTTTTAATGATAAGGTCACTGAATAAAAAAAACATAAAAAGCTTTATCACAATTAGAAATGTATGTGATATTATTTTATAGCTGTTTTTTTATTTTATTTGCTTTATTTTATTTATTTATTTTTTAAATAATTTCAAATCAGCATATGCTAGAGTTTAATAATTAAACATTCATTTCTTAATCACCTATAATTACTCTTATAGGTTCCCTTCACACTCACAATGGATTGTTTGTTCTGCTTAGAAATATTGTCTTTTGCTAATATCAGAGTCAGCATTTGCATTTGCAAATGTTATTTCACCTTCTTAATGCATTAATTAGAATAAATCACGTTTATGTTAGAATGCATTAATTTATTTGTCTGCTTTGGGCGGTTTGACTACAATCATTGTAATGCATTTTAGATTGAATGTTACCTATGACTTGAACATGACTTGAAGTGTAAAGGGTAAATGTACAAGAGGCCTCATTTTACTCTATTTATGACTATATTCCAGCACATCTGTTCAGTGCACTGAGCTCCTCTGTTTTATGTTCCTGTTGTGCCTGTTTTATAGAGACACAACACCTGTTTTATGCACTATTAAATCCTACTTACCATTCTTTTCCCAGGAATCTTCAAGCCATGTCATGAAGTGGTGCCTCCCAATCCTTACTTTGAGAACTGTGTGTTTGATCAGTGTGGCACTGGTGGCGCCACAGTGGCACTGTGCCAAGCTATTCAAAGCTATGCTGACCTGTGCGCTCAAGCTGGGGTGCCAATTAACTGGAGGAATAACACCTTCTGCCGTAAGTGTTTGAGCCCTACAGACATTCTGTAAAGCGTACTTAAAACCTGCAATTAACTGAATCCTGGTAACCTTTTTAAGACTCTGCCTTTGCAGTGTGCACCCTTCAATTAGGGAGTGATTAACGAGTGCCGAGTGTCTCTTTAGTTCCTAAATTGGCTGTGCTAAAACAGTTGTATTTTTATGTTTCTCCGTCTCTGCCCATCGTCCCAGTTTCTCGTCCATCCTTCTCTCTTTTCTAACTATTTTCATTCATTTGTTCTCGTCTGCCTCATTGCATTGGTTCGGTTAACACCACTCTTTTATTTTTCTATTTCTTCCAGCTATTAAATGTCTGGTTGGTAGTCACTATGAGCCGTGTGGTTCAGCCTGTCCAGCCAGTTGTCAGGACCCTGGATCTGAAGGCACCTGCTTTGAGCCCTGTGTTGAGGGATGTGTGTGTGACCCTGGTTTTGTCCTCAGTGGGGACAAGTGTGTGCCCTTCAGCGAGTGTGGTTGCACTGACAAAGACAACAACTATAGGCCTGTGAGTGCTTGAGAAGACTCAATGAAACTTACTTCTGTTTTCAAATTTTAAATAATTTCTTACAAATTGAACACATTTCAGTTCACATTTTTGTGAATAAAAGTGTAGTTTAATTATGCATGTTTTCATTTCTAGTTTAGGATTGTCCCTTTGTCCATTTCAATTATTAATGCGTATCTGTTTGATTTTTTAGGTTGGAGACAGCTGGTTCACGAAGGATGATTGCACAGAGCGCTGTGTTTGTTCACCTTTCAATACAGTGACATGCGAGGCATGGCAATGTGGTCCCGCTCAGGAATGTAAGGTCAATGATGGTGAACTAGGCTGTGTGAACACAGGTACATACTCTACATAATCTTTTTATCTCTTTTTATGTGTCTGTCTATCTTTGTCTGTATCTTTCTATCTGTCTCTCTGTCTATCTATCTGTTTGACACATGCTTATTGACCTTCTTTGCAGGAGTGGGCATTTGTCACATTGCTGGTGATCCTCACTACTACACTTTTGATGGCATCATGCACACCTACATGGGTACCTGCACTTACACGCTGGTGGCGATATGCGACACCTCTATGGTGACACCCTTCACCATTGTGGCCAAAAACGAAGAGCGCGGCCAACCAGAAGCTTCGTATGTTCGCTCTGTGACCGTCTACCTGCCCACTGCCAACATCACCATCAGCAAGAATGGAAGAGTACTGGTGAGAGCCTGAGAAGGAAGAAGGAAGAGATGCAATAGTGATTTTGACTAGGCTGAATTTGCATGCCTTCTTCTGATTAGACATAATGAATAGGGATATAACAGTGAAATATTGTTTAAAATCATAGATAAGATTCTATGTATCCAGTGATATGATTGTGCTAAATCTCTGGCTTGTACTCATATTTATTCTGTCCACCGACTAGGTGAATGAACGCAGGATAAAGACCCCCTATGACATCAGTTCAGCCAAGGCGCGGGTGTTCACCAGTGGAGTAAACACCGTACTGGACACTGACTTCGGCCTGATTGTGAAGTTTGATGGAGTGCACCATATTGAAATCACAGTACCTGGAGACTATTTCAACAAGGTTTGAAACTATACGCAAAAATAAAGCTAGAACATCATCCTACCTGATAGGAGTGGGCGATATACCGGTAGACACGATTAACCAGTAGAAATTTGTCAACATGCAGAGATTTTGGATTATCATCTCTATAGCGGTTACACACTCACGTGACGTTTCTGTTCTACATGGTCATGAAAACTTATCGTTTACGCATGTTTTTAAGAATTGGGTTTAAAAAACAAGTGATTTTAAGCCGTTGGAAACTCAATAAGCAGATAAAGAGAGCTCATTTCACTATATGTGTTCGCTGTCTTAGCACTGTCAGAGAGGCACGTGCATGTAAAGACGGTGCTCATAGAGTGCAGGAGCATTGTAGTGAGTTATTTTTGCCACTTTATAGGCCTTGAACAGGTAAATACACAATTTATGTGTCAAAATGCCCATCTTTGCAAGTATCCTTGTAAACCTCGTAATTTAGGTCTTTAGTCTAATATTCCTGCTGTCTGTCATTCATGTTAATCAAACAACAAAAGAGAGAAAATCTCTCACTACTCTTGACTAAATAATTTTTGTAACTTTAATAATAAGAAATATATATTTAGTTTACACGGTGGAGAATATGCAGTGTTTTTTTATATTTCATTACCTTATACAATGTATGTAGCATTTCTTATTTATTTGTTCTACTGTTTTTGTCATTTTGCTTGTAAGTAGTTTCTTATTCTTATTTAATCCCTGACTCTTTACTTGTCTTCAGTGAGCTTTTTTTTCAATTTAGGCTAGCATTAGTTCTTTTGTGACATTGACTCTGGTGACAAGAATTATAACATTTCTATGGTGTCAAAAATGTTGATATCATAAAGACCTTATTTAAAGCAAAAATAGCTATATTGTGATATATATTGTTACGGTGAGATAAAATTACTCATATCATGATATAAGATTTTGGTCATATCACCCACCCCCACGACCTGATATTTGTTGTAAATGCAGTCTTTAGATACTAATGTTTGATTAATAAACCAGACAGTTTCCTTTTTGGTCAAGATGTCTGAATTTCATTAAGAAAAATTAAAGAATTTTCACAAGCAGATTTTGATCAAATCTTCTTGACACATATCACACTCACTGCTTTCCCATAATTCAACTTTCGTCTTACAGGTATGTGGAATGTGTGGTAACTACAACGGAGATTCCTCTGATGACAACTTGATGCCTGATGGCAAACCAGCCAACAATGCCACTGAACTTGGTAACAGCTGGAAGGCAGAGGGAGACAGTGATCCTGGGTGAGTGTCACATTGTTTGGTCCCTCTCCATAATTAAGAAATAAACAAACATCGAAAGATAGCAGCATTATAGATGCACTTATGATACATATGAATTTGAGTGAAAAGTCAGTAGTTTCACTTGTCTTCATTCTTCTCTTGTGTTCATCCATGCCTCGTTTCTCCATCTGCAGGTGCAAACCTGATGAACGGCCTGATGACAAACCCAACTGCGACAAGAAAGAGGAAGAAATCTACAAGTCACAGTGTGCGGCGTCTATCTTATCTGATCTCTTCAAGCCCTGTCACTCTCTCATTCCTCCAGAATCTTTCCTGGGGAACTGCATCTATGACATGTGCGAGTATGATGGCATGCAGTCGACTCTGTGCGATAACATTGAAGCTTACGCCCAGGCCTGTCATAGCGCTGGAGTCACAATCAGCTGGAGAAACAGCACCTTCTGTCGTAAGTGAAAGAGAAAGAGGGAACAAAAGACTAAGAGATGTGCTGAGAATGTTATGCTGAGCTGGGTGACAGGAGGAAGAATAATTTGGCTAGAACTGTAAAGATCAAAAGAGCAGAACTGTGATGCTGAGAAAATGAAGCATTTATGAGATTCTTCATTAATAATCTCTAGGCTATGCATAAATATGAATGAATATCTATGCATATTTTGAAGGATGGAATGGCCTCTGAATATGTCAAAGAATCATTGTCATTCAAATCCGCTGCGTCAAACCTCTTTCCTTTGTGTACTTCTATTTCCAGCTCTCCCGTGCCCACCAAACAGTCATTATTCTGAGTGCACAGCACCATGTCCTCCTACTTGTGCCGATCTCTTCCCCGTATTCTGCCCATTACCCCCTAATAGTTGTGTCGAAGGCTGCCAGTGCAATGGAGGTTTTGTGCTAAGTGATGGCAAGTGTGTTCCCCTCTCAAGCTGTGGATGTGTTGACAGCAATGGAGAGTATCATGATGTGAGTAAAGTTGCTAGAATTGCATACTGAATTTTACTACTGTTTAAAAGTTTTTTTTTTTAAAGAAATAAATTAATTCTATTCAGCAAGGAACTATTAATTAATCAAAAGTGATAGTAAAACATTTATGGTGTTACAAAATATTTCTATTTCAAATAAATGCTGTTTATATTTTATATTCTTCAAAGAATCCTGAAAAAAGGTATTAAGCAGCACAGCTGCTTTGATAATAATAATAAATGTCTCTTAAGCACATGATCTGTTCAGAAATCATTCTAATATACTGATATTAGAATGATTTCTGAACGGATCATGTGACACTGAAGACTGGAGTAACTTCTGCTGAAAATTCAGCTTTGACATCACAATAATTAATTAAAATAGAAGTTATTGTAAACTGTCATAATATTTCAGAATTACAGATTTTACTTTTATGATCAAATAATTGCAGCGTTGTTGAACATAAGAGACTTCTTTCTAACATTTAAAAATCTTACCGACTTCAAACTTTTGAACGGTAGTCTATCTATTAAAGACTTGTTTTCTTCAACTCTATTCATCCGACTCTTCTATTCTTCAACTCATTATTGAAATCATTTTCTATATAAACGAATAATGGCAATAACATGACACATAAAGAACATGTTATAAAAAGGCGCTGTAAAGATGGCAGTGCTTTCATTTTATGTCACAAAATTTGGTAACACTTTATTTTGATGGTCCATTTTGAACATTCTGTTGACAATAAGTAATGTTGCACCTACATGTCTACTAACTCTCATCAGAATATTAGTAGACTGTTTGCTTAATATCTGCTAACTGTTTATTGTCATGGTCTCCCAACAGACATTCTACTGACTATAAGTAACTTTGCAAGTACATGTCAACTTATTCTAACCCTAACCCTACCAGTCTACTAATACTCTACTAATACTCTAATGAGAGTTAGTAGACATGTAGGTGCGAAGTTACTTATAGTCAACAGAATGTGTTAAAGGGACCATCAAAATAAAGTGAAGCTCAAAATTTTACAATACTGCCTGGTATATTTCAGGTGGGAGATTCGTGGATAACTGACCACTGTGAACAGAGGTGCAGCTGCAGCCTTGGAGGAGTGCTGTCCTGCACGTCCTTTGAATGCAATGACAACTCGATCTGCGATCTTGACAGCAATGGAGACCGTTACTGCAAACCTGAGAGTGAGTTCAGGACAGTTTTGCAATGAGAAATACTAAGAATGAGGGAACAATGACATCAATTGACTTAATTCAGACCATCAGAGCAACCAAAAATTAATATTTACTATACATGAAAGACAAAAAGTTGGCAACTTTTTACACATTTTCTCTTAGCAAACATTTTCTACTTTACCTCTAAGTTTTTGGGGTTTAATGACTACAACTTGTGGGCATCTAAAGAAATGTAAATGTTTGAGCCTTGAAGCAGGTTAGTCTTAATGTCCACCTCATTTTAGATGAACTAACTCAAACCTCTTTTACTTCTCATAGAATTCGATGACTGCAATATTGCTGGGGACCCTCACTATCGTACCTTTGACAGATACAATCACCACTACCAGGGAGCGTATACCTATGTATTAACTCAGAGCACCACTCTGCCAAGCTCCCTCACCCCGTTCACAGTCCGCGGCAAAAACCAGCGGCAGGGAGGCATCAGCCGGGTGTCACTCCTGCGCGAGGTCTATGTGGACGTATACGGCATTACTGTTCGCATGCAGCAGAAGAAGAAAGTGCTGGTGAGGGATTCATGGGACATGTAGTCAATTCTAATAGTTGTATCTAACAGACTTCATATATGGACCATAATAACAACCGCATAATATCATGAATGTCTTTGCGTGTTTTTCTCCATCAGGTCGATGGAGAGAAAGTTGGTCTACCATTCAGTCCTGTACGTGGAGTTAACATAAAAACAAAGTCTCGCTATGTGATGCTCACAACTGACTTTGGCCTTTCTGTGCGCTTTGATGGCAATGCTCAAGCAGGTAGCTCAAAACTCACATCCACACAATTATCAAGGATTTTTTATGCACAGCTTTGCATGTTTTGTAAAGTATATAATGAAAACTCTCGCTCTCTTCTTTTTCCCTAAAGTGGTGACTCTACCAAGTGTATACAGATCCCGTGTGCTCGGTCTGTGCGGTAATTATGATGGAAACAACCGTAACGAGTACACAAAACCAGACGGCACAGTTACCCGCAACCTCAATGAGTTTGGAGACAGCTGGAGAGTGACTGACAGACAGGCGGGTCTTCGTACCACATCTCTACCAAAGATGGTGCACCTACACAAGTACGGAAGAATGCTATGCATTATTAATCAACTGGGATGCCATTTCTCATTAAATAAATAATCTGAAATAGTCTGGCATAGTCCTACCCCTAAAAAGCCTGTCTTCTTTACTATTAGGCGTGAAGTGGAGGCCGACCCAGATTCAGGGTTTGATACGACAGGCTGCACAGATGCTCTGCTGGAGGAGCTGAACGGGAATAAAATGTGTGGGGCTCTCAGCGACCCTGCTGGTCCTTTCACTCCCTGTCATGCTGTGATCGCTCCGGATGTCTTCCAGGAGTGAGTAATGTGTGTGAGGGTGTGTGCACTCTAGTGACAAGTATGAGTTCACTTTCATGAGTTAATGCATAGTGGGTGTGTGTTGCACTATGTACAAGAGCATGTGAATGCTTGTGCGTTTGAATGAGATAAACTTGTGATATGCGGGTGTTGGTACGGATGCACAGTCCTTCACAACCGTGTGTGTTTGCATTGCAGGGATTGTGTGTTTGACCTATGCGCTGAGCAGGGCAGTGAAGAGCTGCGCTGTGAAAATTACGCCGTCTACGCTCGGGCTTGCCAAGATCTGGGTGTCACACTAGGGCTGTGGAGACAAGAACTGAATTGCGGTATGAAAAATAAAATAGTTAATTTATGGAATGTGGTTCTGTATAGAATTCTGTAACAATTTAAACATCAAATGTTTCATTTAAAAATGAAATAAAATAAAAACCTGGTTTAAAATCATGGCTTCCACAAAAATAGAAAGCGGCACAACATTGATAATAATAAGAAATGTTTTCGGAGCACAAAATCAGCATATTAGAATGATTACTGAAGGATCATGTGACACTAAACAACATAAATGTGTGTTTGTGATTTAGGTCTGCAGTGTGGGCCCAACAGCACTTACTCCCCCTGTATGACTCCATGCCCGGCGTCCTGCGCAGACCTGGCGGCTCCCTCTGAGTGTGAGCAAACACAGTGTGTGGAGGGATGTCAGTGCGCCTCCGGCTTTGTCATGAGCGACCAAGACTGTGTGCCTTACAGCGAGTGTGGATGCACTTACCTCGATCGCTACTATCAGGTGAGCCTTTTGATGCATGTCAAATACTACAGGTTAAAGGTTGGAATTGCACAAGAAATTGTTGATCATGTTTCTCTGTACCCTTCCACACGCAGCTGAAGGAGACATTTGTGACAGAGGATTGTTCACAGAGTTGTGAATGTACTACCACTGGTGCTGTGTGTCAAACAAAGAGCTGTGGAGACAACGAGATCTGCACTGTGTACGACACCAAACGCGACTGTTATAAATGTGAGCTATTTCTGACTCAAAATATATTTGATAAACATATAATGCATAGCTTTCAGTTTTCCTAGTCTAGGAATGATACAGAATTGGATATCATATAGTAAAGTTAATTATAACTATGGAAGCCCATTTCTGCCATGGGATAAAAATAATAGCAACATTTTTATCTCACAAATCAGCCTTTTTTTCCAGAATTCTTAAGTTTACATCTCACAATTCTGTGTTTTTGTTTCACTGAGTCCATGCTTTCTTTATTTTACTCACAATTTGCTCAGATTTTTGAGGAAAAGTATAAAAAACAGTATTGTGAGATATATATATATATCATGGTGGAAACAAGCTTTCATATATTACAGATGTTTCAGATGAGTAATAAACTGATTTTTAACTTCTTTTGCCCTCTTTTTCTCTCAGCGAGTCCATGTTTGAGCTCGCCCTGTCAGAATGACGGTACCTGTGTGGATAAACCAGATGGTTCTGGTTATACCTGCACTTGCACTGAAGGTTTTGAGGGCACAAACTGTGAGGTCTTTAAAATCCCCTCCGAGGGAGGCCTGGGTAAGTGAATGTGAACGGACTGTATTCATTCCTAATGTAAAATTCTTAATCTAATCTAAAAAATTAAACCATATATGCCAGTCATATGTAACAGGTTTTTCCTGCTCGCTGTTTTGTAGATCAAACAGCTATTATCTTGATCGGAGTCCTCGTGCCGCTTGGCGTCATCCTCATAGTCACAGCAACTGTGTGCATTTACAAAAAGTGCAGGTAAAATTTATTTAAATCTAACAACACTGATCTTGCAATAAAGTCAAAAATTAAATGATTAGGCAAATGAATGATTGTTAATCTCTTTTTACACAGCCGCAAAACGATGAGTTACGATTCAAATAAGCAATTTGAGCTGAACAAAAAGACAGGTATGTGGTGACTGATTATAATACTTTTTTTCTTTCTAAAAAAACCAATCTGAAATGTATAATGTGAGCTGTAATTTGAGCGTTTCTAAATGTGTCCACAGATCATCCTTATGAAACTCTAGATGAGGGTAAGAAGCAGGGAACAGACAACAGTGTGCTGAAGGCTACTACATTCTGAAGCAAAACCTCAGTTTTTTGACAACGATTTGCTGACGAGATTTTGTTTATATTTATTCATTTTAAATGTCTTTGTGGAATATGTGAACTAACTGGCAAAACCTCTGTTAATATTTTACATTTTTCAACTTTTCAGTAACTTATTTGTAAACTCCATTGTAATTTTTGGTGTAAGCTGTGTTTTGATTTGGGGAATGAGTGCAATTATCAAATATCTATGAACATCTGATGTAAAATAAATTATATTTTCTTCTGAAAAGTATATTTTTTAATATTTTAAATAAGTTAACAAGACAATTTATGCCCTAGCTGCTTTTATTTAACCTGTTCAAGTGCAACACTCCAATAACCAACAACATTTCCAATGACTCTGAACACTTTTGTTAACACTTCAAACAGCAATTAAAGGCATATAAAAACAAACAATAAACAAACAAACAAACAAAAAGTGCACAGCAGAAGTTCATAGAAGAGCATAGTCAAAATTGTCTTGCTCGACCAGCTATCTAAATGATTGAGTTCCACAAGGACTTTCCACCAGAAGTGCTTCTTGGCGGGTCTTAGCCATTCAAAAAAAACCAAAACAAAAAGTCTGAACAAACAATACAAGCGCAATACTCAACATATGTATGCACTGATACCTTTTGCATAACTTCTAACCTCAAGCTATTTATACAGACTGGGAGTAAATCCAGTGGTTAGAGTTGTCAATTAACAATTGTTCTGTGATGTGCCTTGTCAAGAGGCTAAAAACAAAGAATCCAAATGTTTTTGAAGAGTTTTTGATCCATGCTGTTCAGGAAAATATAATATCCAGCCACCAGTCCTTTGAGCATTCCTTCTTTTTCAAAAAATAAGTTACAAAAAATTAAATAAAGTGCTTACAAAAAAATAAACATGATAGTCCAAATCTTTTTGTTCTGCAATAAATGATCCACTCGTGCCAAGAAAGTTTTCAGTGTAAAATAATAACATAGTCCAAAACAAGAAAACTGGCCAAGATGCAAATATGCAAAATTGCAAGTGAAATGAATTGAAAATTAAAATACATCACAGTGTTTATATTAAAACGTATTATTTACATCCACAAACGGTTTTGAATCATTGTTACACTTCCGCAGAATAAGTAGTCTGTCTAAACAATTCAGTCTGAAAAAATTAAACATTCAAGATCCTATATTCAGACACAATATAAAACCATGTGCAACATTCCACAACAAAGGAAAAGGGTTTTCAGTCCCAAGGATTAATCAGTAGTCCTCACATGTGCACAGAAATGTAAACATTGATAAAAGAAATCAATCGTAACCCCATTAAATGGCACAATGGGGTGACGCTTTACGCCAGTTGATTATTGATTATCACTACAGCCTGAGGGCTTGTACATATCAAGCTCTCTGCTAAAGTCCGATGTTCAGTGTAAATGCATAGAAATCAATACTACTGTATGACCAGCATCTGCCCTGATGCTTACCGGGAGTTTGTTCCTGGACATCTAGCGGGAGCAGAAATAAAATGGCATCTGCCAATAACACAAGCTCCACCTCCACCAGAAGTGACTTGATTGGTGTGATTACATGGGAAACCTGTAGAAATTGAACAGCCTGAAGAACTGGAGTGTTAACATTACAGCAGTGAAATAATTTGATGAATTAAATAAATACTAATTTAACAACACGCACACATAACTACTGAGTAAGGAATATCGGTGATACAGTTACACTGCAGGGTATAATAAATGCCAGTCCAAAAAGATTCCAGTGTTCAGGACTGAAAATGAAAGAAACCGTAAGATTGCTCACAGGCACGACATTGCAAACCATCTTTCAAGTAATTAAGGAAAACAATAAAAGCACTTTTACAAAAAGGAATGCAAAGAGGAATTGAATTTAGGAAGGGAAATGTTGGCAGTATTGACAAATGAAATGTAAAGACAAAGACAAAAAAACCTATCCAATAGTAAGTAGTAAACAAAAAAAACATGACTTTGTATGTGGCATGCTTTTACAATGGATATGACTAGGCCCAGATAGAATCTGCTGAATTCTTCATTTTTTGCACTGATTTTGGGAGCCACATTTACAGAATAGATTTAAACATAGCTAAATGTTTTTAATAGAGTGCTAGATTAATTTGTAACTGAAAACATGACCAATTAGCCAAACCATTAAATAAACAAGCACGCCTGGGTATGACTAACCATAACCATCCATTCTCCATAAACAGCCATCAATACAATATTTTAACTTGTATGTAACACAAGTCTCAGAACTTCATGGATAAACAATAAAAACCCTGTTTGTGTTTATGCTTTCTTTTCATTCCTTCTGTCGAAAATGTCAAAAACAGTAGCTGCATGTAAACTGCTTTGAAATTATTTAAAATAATCGTACTGTACAGCATGTAAACAATGAATGCTGGTAAAAGGAAAACAAAATAAATATATACTGAACTGAAACTGACAGAGATTAAACCCCGTTTTTGATTTACACTACTTCATGACACGTGATTCTTTGCCAAAGTTCAAAAATATCCCTACTTCGTCTCCCTCTGTGTGTGTGTGTGTGTTTGGATTCAGGTGTGTGAATCCAGTACCAGCACCTTGCACTCACGCTTGGCAATTTTGTCGAGTGACAAGATGCTCCTGTCTGGAGGGAGGTACAGTGGCCGTCCAACAGGAGAGCCCACGGGAGGGGTGATGGCCCTGCGCTCCATAACACTGCCTGTCCTGTAAGACACAAACAAACATGAACATCGACATCGACCTGAGCTGCATAAATGAGACGATCATGATTTGACATAGAAAACAGAATGTACCAGTTATAGGCTATATCAGAGTTCCCGCCTATGTGGACGGTTCTAAATCAGTCAACTAAGATAATGCTGAAGAACAGGTGTTTTCCAGGTTAACAGGTTAGTAATACTATAAAACATTATTGTTTTTTAAAACAAGAGTTTTCTATTTAAATATGGTTTAAAAATGTAATTTATTCCTGTGATCAATACTCCAGTCTTCAGTGTCACATGATCCTTCAGAAATTCATTTTAATATTTGGTGCTAAAGAAACGTTTCTTATTATTATCAGTGTTGAAAACTGCTTAATATTTTTGTGAATCTTTAATCTTTGAAAGAATCCTGAAAATAAATAAATAAATAAATATAAATATATAAATATATATATATATATATACATACGAAGAGTTCAGATGCAAAAGCCTCCAAGTGCCATCTGAAATTTTCTTCTAAAATTAGCATTTTTGTCAGGCGTCTATGTTTAAGTTCACTTATTTCACTTTAATGGCAATGAAAATAATCTATTCATTGCCATTAAAGTGAAATTACTGAACCTACACATAGGAGCCTGATAAAAAAGAGCTACTTTTAGAAGAAACTTTCAAACGGCACTTAGAAGCTTTTGCATTTAACTCTTCGTATATGTTTTCTTTTCTTTCAGGATTCTTTGATGAATAAAAAGTTAAAAAGAACAGAATTTATTTGACAAAACAGCAAAGTCTTTACTGTCACTTTTGATAAATTCAATGCATTCTTGCTATATAAAAGCATTAATTTCTCTTAAAAAATCTTATTGAACCCAACCTTTTTGAACAGTGGTGTATATTGTCACTGCACCAAGAAAACCAATTAAATTAAACTGATTAAATTATTAACTGAATTTATTGATAAAAAAAATGTTGGTTGGCAGTGCATCTTTGTCCACCCACTGTGTAAGTCCAATCCCCTCGCACCTCCTCCAAGCAATCTCTCCTACACTTTTACCACCACTCACACATATCATCAACACATCTCTCCTCACAGGCACCTTCCCCACTGCATTCAGGCAGGCTCGGGTAACCCCACTGCTCAACGACTGGTCTTCAACGAGCCCAAAAGAGCCCACGTTATACCTCTCTTTATCTCCTTGCACTGGCTACTGGTTGCGTCTCGAATCAAGACATTGATGCTTGCATATAGAACAGCCACAGGCTCAGCACCCACCTAC